TATATATATATATATCATACACTTAAATAGTGTAAATATTTAGCTTATCGAGGTTAATGAGATATATAAAAAAATATCAGTAATACTATTGTAATGTATTTATCATAATAATTAAGTTATGTTATAAAATGCATATCACATATATGCAATATCACATATATTTTGTAGAATCAAAAATAAGAACACATAATAATGCAGTGCGTTAAAAGAAAAAACAGTGAAAAGTATTTTCATTGTATTTCTAAATAGGATTTCATAAAATATTTAAAGAGTTGTAACTATTGCTAAAAACTGCAATTGTGATTACATATAAAATTAATTTATTTATAAAGTTATTAAAGTTTAAATATTTACGAATCATTATTTCAAATTATTTTTGCTTATTATTTAGCTGTAATAAAAATTCTTATTACACTATTACAATATTTGCCTAAAAATATAACGGAAAATATCTGTGTGTAATAAAAATTATTGCATTTTATCATTATTGTATTTTCATTATTTATAAACAAATGTCATATTTTATTAAACACATTTTAGTAAAAATATTCAAAAGATATATGTATACAAGGTGATTTTAACATATTTCGTCACCCATTATGAACAGGTGAATGAATCGAACTAAGTCAAAAAGTCATCTACCATTTTGTAATTTACGCAATAGTTAACGAGATATTAATTATTAAAAATTGCCAAATATTGGTCTTGAATAATTTTTTACTCAAATACTATCAACTTTATAGAAAAGCTGCAAGAGACAAAAATCAGTTATTTTCTTCTCATAAAGTTCTGAGAATTTTTTCAGAATTTTTTAATACCATATTTATTTTCTCATGTTAGTAAAAATAAGAAAATGCAATACTAAAAAGTTGATAAAAAATTCTGAAAAAAATTTTTAGAGTTCTATTTGAGTAAAAAATTATTCAAGACCAATATTTGGCAATTTTTAGTAATTATTAAACTATTGCGAAAATTGCAAAATGGTAGAGATTTCGACTCAGACATTTGATTCACTCTACCTGTTCATGATGGGTGATGAAATATGTTAAAATCATCCTGTAAAATATCATATTGTGTGCTGTATGAAAAGTAGCTGTTGCACAGTGATAAAATATTTCTTATGTATGATCTGCTTATATAATTATGCCTACATAGAATGGAATTTATCGAGTTATCCTTAATATACATTATATTACAAGAATATACATATATAATATTTTGTACCATAAGACATAGTTCACCCCTTACTGCAATATTCCAAGATACTGCTTTTGTTAATACAATGGACAAGATGAATTTTTTTAATTTCACATACCTCGGCTTTTAATTCAGCAACCTTATCTTGAAGCTCCCTTACTTTCTCACTGTCATCTAAATTATTCCTAAGTTCGCCTTCCGCATGCATTTCTTCATTCTATAAAAATATTAGACATTACATATTTAAGTCTTTTAATGGTAACGTTTATTAATATACAGATGAGGTAACCTTTAATTCGAGAAGAGATATTTTCTGTGTAAGTTCCGCCACTTGCTGCGCGTGTTCGGCATCACGTATCCTAGCCATCATAGCTTCGTCCTTCATTTTCGATTCCAAATCGGAATACTTGTGTTGTTGTTCTCTAAGCTTGGCAACTAGATCCTTCTCTCGTGCTAATACAGCTTCCAATTCATCCTTAAGTACTTTTCCGCCTTCGTCTTGTCTACGGAGCTGATTAGTTGCTACTTGCACTTGAGTTTCAAGCTCCATAACTTTAAGTCGTAACTCTTTTACTTCAGTCAACGCTTCCATCTCTCGAATTCTGGTCGTCATTAAATCTTCCTCAAACTTCTGTACTTCATGACCCCGATTTTCCCAAAAAAGCAATTTCTTTGGCGTAGAATCAGCGGCAGGCGCTGATTGAGCAGACCGATGCTCTTGTAGATGCCTCTGCCAAGCTGCACTTAACTCCATAACTCTCTGCCGCAGATCCTGTGTAATATTTTATATGTAAATCTATCTAATATTAATGTAAAACTCATAAAAAATAGCAAGATTATATAAGAACAGATTTTACCTTTAAAGATAAATTGGCCTCTGCCTCTCTAAGCTTAACTGCAATAAGTTCTTCTTGCAAATGAGCTACGGAATTGTCTGGCGTCGATTCGCGTAAAGTTTTCTTATCTTGCTCTAATTCTTGTATTCTTCCTCTGAGTTCTCTAATTAGTGCATCGTTTTCTGCCTCGTGTAATCTAACTCTAACCAATTCCTCTTGCAAACATTGTATCATTTCTTCCTTCTGTGATAATGCTTCTTGTTTCACTACTATCTCATCTAGTGATGACTGTCTAGACGTTACGTTCTCCTCAAGAAGAATCGATAACGATCTCAATTCCTCATGAGCTTGTTCAAGTTGATGGCTGGTCTCGAGATGTGAATGACGAAGCGCTGCCAATTCTCTTTGAGCTATGAAAGCAGTTTCTTCTTCTTCGGCGCGTGATACTTGACCTCTAACTAATCTATCAGCTAGTTCAGCGGACTCTGCTTCCAAAAGTTCAGTTCTTTGCCTAAGCAATCTGTTTTCTGCTCTGAGCCTGCGTAACTCGACCATTTCTTCTTGCTCCTTCATCTTTAAGATGGTATAATCTTTTTCTAGTTTCTTCATTCTTTTTGGATTGATTTTCATTCCATATGCGAGCGTCATGAGGCCATCGGGATCTTTTTCGGCCTTCCCAGGCAATTGTTTTTGGAAAAACTGTAAAAAAAAAAGTTGTTTTAATCATCAGTTAAATAAAGTGAACACACACATACATACATACATACATACATATATATATATAAAGTTTTATATTCTTATTTAGAATATAAAACATGTTAAAAATTAAATTTTATCGATAGTGATTTCTTGAAACTACTTATATAAGTAACAATTTTTCAGATTACCAGCATTGCCAATGCAACCTTAAAAATAATCTCCATCCCCTCCGATAGAAAGACGTCAAAAATACGACATGCTAGGGGAAGGCTTAGCGCTGTAGTAAATAGTGTAAGAAACCAAGAAGATGCATACATCGACGTATGAAAACCTTGGGCCGTGAAGTGAGCATGAAGTTCAGGATGTGCATCAGCAACTAAATGTTCCAGTTGATACATGCACACTCCTAATTCAGCCATACTTGGTTTGAACATGTCCCGCAAGCGATACTCTTGCATTAGTGCTACGAGTACAGCAAAAGCTTCTTCTTCTGGCATTTGCTACAATGAAAGAATATTTAAATAAAGCATATATTTTCTCTTTTGTAGAATAAAAAATAAATAAAAATACATGTTCACAAAAAAATAAATTTATAGATAATTTCTTGCTTTTATATATTTTTCTATTTCATAATTTTTTGTGAAAATATTGTTAATACTTTTTACCTGCATTAAAAGTAATCCTACTATAAATCCTGAACCTTGGCAGTATCCTACTTCACGATCATGTAGGCTATATGCTTTCATAACGTTAAATAAACTCTCCTGCCCAAAACCATCCTTTTCTTTGAAAAAGTCATGCTCAGGGTACGTCCTAGCGATATCCCTTCTAATTATCCTTTCGCAAGCTGATGTTGCTTTAATGTATTCGGCAAATTGTTTCTTAACTGGAGAGTCATGGGCACCGCTTAATAATTGCCAGACAATGCCCCTAAATAATAATATACAATCTATATTAAATTTTAATAAAAAAATGAATGTATATAACTTTCTGACTTATAGATAATATTGATAAACGATTACGGTTTTGATAATATTTATCAAGATAGTGCAAAAGAGGTGTTGAGGATGTATCGCATCAAGATTCTCAGCGTTGAAAAGCTCCCCAAAAAAAAATTTCGATTAAAATATAATTATTTTTTGTTTTCATCCACATTAATTTCGTATCCAAGTTATAATTCACAAAGTAATAATGTAAATAATAAAATCTCTATTGTTTTTATGAATATCAAATATTTTGCCTAATTAAACAATTTCTATACTTAAGATAAATTCATGAATAAATAAAGAACTCCATTCTTACTTTGTTACTACAGGTCCAAAAAGTTTTTACACAACCTTAATATATTTATACCGTCTTTCAACAGAATATACATAATATATATATTACCTAAAATGGTGAGGTATGCCTTGACGAACCAATTCCTTAACAAATTCTTTCCGTTTCTTCCAATTATAATCCCAGTCAGCCACTATATGACCCCAAAGAGTCCACGTATTCTCTTCACCATCGGCTGGATTGTGGCGTCGGGGCGCAGCATCGCCGTTACCTCCGCTGCCCCCCGACGCCACAGACACTTGAGATGTATCGGAGCCCTTTCTGCTATGATTGCTCTGGAGAGAATTCAATGACTTTGCATCTGATTCGATCAGCCTAAAATTAATAAAATAAAATAAATTATGATTTTTATTTGTGCAATTTTATTCATTTCGTGGAGAATAATGCATGGATTTACATAACAATATATTTGTACAAATCAGTAGATACTTATTGTATAAGTATGTGTTTTAATTAATTATATAGATTATATAATTAATTATATAATTAAATTATAAAGGAAATAAAAAAAAACTTACGTCTTTTCCCATATTTTTCGATATTGAGTTAAAAGTGCAGCCTTAGTCTGCATCCTACTGTGCATCATTTCCAAGCCAAAATGCGTAGCAAAATTAACATTTAGCATTTCTACTCTAAATTTGAAATAAAAGGAAATCCAGGCAATCTATTCAAATATGTGTACATGCAAGAGGTATCCAATTTACTACATTTTTTGGAAAGTGGAAGATGTCAGTCAAAGTGGAAAGTGGCATTTGTTAGATAAGATTTAAGTTATCAGTTCATGCAAGAATTGTTCGATCCTTGTGAAAGTACGATTTGCATCAAGCGATAGGTCACTTGATTATTCACCTATTGGCTTCCTCCAGCTTAGCTAATAGAGCCAGCTCGTCAGTAGGTATTTCCTGCGAGGGCGTTATTCGCTGCTCGCAAAGAGTGTCTGACGGCGGACTCGGGAGTATCTTGCCGGCCTGCGTGACGTTACGGGTAGATTGGTGGACGTTAGAGGTGCATAAACACAGCACGCTCATCACCTGCGGTCCATAACGTGACAATCCCAATTGGCCAACAGGCGCATTTACGCTATCCCAGGCGGCGTTTTGACTTCTGGAACAAAACGGGTTGAATTAATAATGCGGATATCAACACAATACGATCCGGGTTTTTCAGCGGCGTATTGCAGTGATCTATTTAAGCGATATACACTTGATTGATATGCGCCTTCACATGTAATTGTGTGTCATAAACGTTGCTTATGTTCGATCGAAATCTATCAACTAAAACACATCAATGAAAACATTCGATTTTAACTATTTGTGTGTGTATGTGCGATTTAACGGATAATAATTATAATAAAACCAATTAATTGCTAATGCTTCTGAATGCTCTCCGTTAAAATTAATGGAATATAATACAATATTTAAGAAAAACTTCACTTCAATAATATATGTATTAGGTATACATGATTCTACAATATTGTAGTTGAAATTAAATAATTATTTAATTTCAGCTTCTGATATTGTAGTCATGTATACTTAATACGTATAAATACAATAAAAGAGAAATAAAATATATTTATTGAATAATTTATTAGTCGCGATGCTCATTTTACCTTTTCGCGACTTTATTTCTCCTCCAACGAGCTGCCGCAGGAGCCAATAAGCCACGAAGAACCATCGAGACAATTTTTCTTTATTTCACTTTCGCGATTTTAGTGTTCTGCAAACGTTCTTGCTTTCTTGTTTCTACCGTTTCTATCTTCACGTCATCACGCGATTTTAAACATAACAATTGTCGACATACTTATCTGCAATACCATTCATTAAACGATCGATTTAACGTATTCAGAGTGTCATTTGCAAATCAATAAGAGATCTATTATCAATGTATACAAATTAAGATTATAATTAACAGAATAATTATTAATTATCCTATTAATTTTAACTTTCAAACAGATATTATTATCTGTCATAAGCGAAAGATAAAACACAAATAATGATTTTTAGAAGAAAATTCTCAAAAAGAAACAGAAGTAGGATGAAATAAAACAATATAACTCTGACAAAAAAAACATGCTACAGTGTAAAAATTATATTTAAAAAATTAACGTTACCAGTCGAAAGATGACATTTAAAAAATAGTTATTCTATAATATATGGTTAAACCTTGGGATTCTGTACCCTACTTGAGGAACATGGTTGACCATTATAACTTAAATACAAAATGTGTCTAAAGAGAACAATTCTTGAAAAAAAATGTTTCAAGCAAAGGTTGGAGGGTTTGAAGAGAACTATCAAATAAGCTTCTTAGATTTTGAGTTCAGGAACTTGTTCGTCCACAATAAATAACAAATAAGAAAAAAAAGTTATACATTTTAATATATTAATTATATTATTTCTTTAAGCCATATTTCAGAATTTATTTTTATCAATACCAAAATTCTTTAGCATCATCAATTTGTTAATTACAAAAGGATTGTGAAAAAGACTTCATTTCTTAATTTTCTTTGTAAAACGTTTGAATTAATATTTTTCAATAAGTAAAAAGCGGTGAAAAGATCCAAAACAGAAAGATTATCCTTGTGGGAATTTTAATATTTTATAACGAAGAATATCTTCTGTAGATGACGGCACTCTCGTGAAACGCCTCGTATGAACGTCGTGCTCAGTGAGGCAACTCGAAGCAACTCGACACGAAGGAGATCAAGAAGGAAGCAATTAGTGCGTGTGAACGAATTAGCGGGCGAAAGAGCAGGTGATTTCGAGCAAGCTATTATGACTATGTATATTGTATGTAGCTGTAGTAAAACGAAACGAACGGAATATGTCGGGATACCGTTTTACGAGCCATATCTCTTGATGAAACAAGAAATTTAATCACTTTAAATTAATTAAAAATAAACTCTTTCGTTTTTGTCATTTATTTAACGCGTCTTTAAAATTATTTGTATTATATTCTGCACTTATATTCTAAAATATATTTAAATAAGTATTTTGCTTATTAAGAGTAGTATTTTCAAATGATTACATTAAAATTGTATGAAAATTTTAATTGTGATATATTTAGAGTATATAATTATTCAAAATGTTACATATGTTTTCTTGCTGTATATACATATTTTGGATAATTATATAACTAGAACATTTTCTATTATCTATAATATATGTGCCATAAGAGTTGACTTCGTTATATCTTAATGTCAACGTTGTCTGCAAACTGAGACCGATGAACACTTGCGTCAGAATTGCTGCGTTGTAAAAATTTCAAGTTATTATCAGGCAAATTACTGACCTATATACAGCACAGCTCGAATATAATGAGAATGTTAACGAAAGTTATTGCTAAATTTACATGTAAAAGAAAAACAAGAGACAAAGACTTCATACAACGACTTCAGCAAAAGTGCTTAAAATCAATTCATTTGTCAATATTAAATTCACTTAAAATAATATTCGCATTTCATAATTATATTAATTTTTTTATTATTAAACAATTTACATTTTTAAAACAAGTGAAGTAATGAATACAATATGTATTTTAATAAATTTCGATAATACTTATTGATTTAATGAATGATAGAAATTATATCAAATGTTTTGTTAAAATTAAAATATGTAATTCAATTAATCTTGATTGAATTAAAATTCATTATTTAATATTTTTTTGTGGGATACCATTTCTCGGATAGATATTTACAGTATAATGAAAGGATTCAAGGCTTGCCATTGTTAAATTATAAATGACTGAATTATATCTATGTATCACCCATCAACCACTCAAATAATAAATATTAAATTATATTGAAACAACTTGATATAAAACTTAAATTACGTTTGTATATAATGTCTAAAAATAAATCATAACTCAAGTCAAATAAACTGCCTCTAGTGTTACATTTTATACAGTACTAATTCTTAACATTCAAAAGCTAAATAAATAATAAAGCTAAATAAAGCTAAATAAAGATAAAGCTAAATAAAGAGAAAAATAAAAAAAGGAAGAAAAAAGTTTTCTAAATTATTATTTTGTCTTCTTTAATGATAAAGAATTAAGCAACATCCGCATATTTTTAATATTTCTTTTTAATGCACGCACAAAATGTCAAAGAACTCTTTTTCGCCACTCTCGCGAGATCAAATCTATGATCGTAGTTTACTGTTCTAACTTTTAAATTTTAACAAGAGATGTCCTGGAAAAATAAATCAACGAAAATTGTGTCAGTGCTTATACTTTGGTAAGGCAGATAACGTAATCAGAAACGCTCGGATGTCCGCGATTCCTTTTCCGGCTTATCAAGACATGCAGGTCTCTCTCTTTCTTTCTCTCTATCTCTGATTTCTTCGATGGCGAAACGTTAAACGTTAAACGATGGTGAACTTAATGTGCTGATTCGATACGATATCGTTTCACTTATTTCCCGATGATCCCGGCACAGTGGGATCTGGCTAGGCATGCACTGCTGGAGAGTAACGAAATGGGTTTGAGGGTCGATGCAGCCCGCGCAGGCCAGGATGCTCCACATGCGCAGCGACGTCCGTCTCCTGACAAATAAATAAAAGGATACCGAGTACGTGCAGCCGGTGATCGAGAGCACTGGGCGTTCTCGATAGATAAAATGACAAAAATGTGTATAAAAATTTTAAATATAAATTTTCAAAAATTCTTTCGATCCCCTGCCCTCCATATTCAAGTATTTTTAATTTATAAATAATAAGAAGGTCCTCTTCGCTTCTTTTATAAAATTGTGACTTGATCTTGGGCTCGTTAGACATTTTGATTTATGTCAGCATATTTATGTTAGTTTTTTCAAAATAATGTTAAGAAACTTAAACAATTATTTCAATTATTACAGAGTACAAACTGCTTCCTTTTAGTTTACTTATGATTGCGCAAATAAAAATAAAAATAAATGTAGAAGCAGAGAACAAGAAAGAGGTTTATTCATTAATCTTTTCAAAAATATAATCACTTCTTCGACAAAATTTTGAGAAATTTTTTGAGATATTTTTATTGCAATTTTTGACGACTACACAATTTCATAAACATCGAATTTTTATTTTGGAAATTTTTTCATAAATAAAAAACAACTAATTTTTTAATATGGAATTTTAATTAATATCTTTAGCAAAAAATTTTTAAAAGGCCATGAAACTTTCATTTTAAATATTAATTTATATTATTAAATTTATTTAATATTATTTACAAAATAAGATAATATTTAATTGTAATATTATACTTTAAAGATTCAATTAACATCATTTTTTAATTTATTAAGCATATTCATAATTAAAATTAATCATCAAAATCTTAGTAAAACATTTCAGATTTGATAAAAACTTCGCAAAATATAAAACCATTCATTCTTACCATACGTTAGAAAAATTATATCATTTATCTAAGTCCTATCTAAAGAAATGTACGAAGATAAGAAGGAAAGAAGAGTTTTTACAGTTAGAATTCTATTTTTATCTTAAACAGACAGATTGAAAATTATATTTTGCAACACTACCTATGTGATTTGTCGAAGTCAGTTCAGAGATTTATCAATTAAAAATAAAATAATTTTTCATAGAAAAACGATACTTTCAGTTAAAGAATTCAATTAAAGAATTCTTCGTAAAATAATACACAGGTAAATATGACAATTAATGGGCATAACAATAAATTATTGGACAAAATAAAAAATTAAATTAATTAATAAATATTAAGTTTTTAATAATATGTACGACTCTAAATAAATTTGTTATTAAATTTTTATAAACAATAAATTTAAAGTTAAATTTGTTGCATCATTAAAAACTAATATTAAAAATTTTTATCATTCTTAATAATTGGGTCATGTCCACTAACTAGTACATTTACCTTATCACTTTACAATAATAATATAACGATAACCATGTAACATATTTTCTTAGTAACGTATATTCGTCATCAATATCATCATTCATCGCCACAACAGTTTGTCTAGATTATATCATGGTATAATTATGGTCTATCCTGTGCAAAATGATTCATCGTCATCAGAAAATATTTTTCTCGTAATCTTGAGACCTTTCTTTATCTAAATTTATTTAGACCTAACAGAGTCTATTTGTAGCCTTTTTGTGTATTTTTTTGAGCGAAATAATATTGTCTGCGAGAAAATAGAAGTATGAATGTATGCAAAAATTTATTATTTTGGTATTGTTATTCATCACTTCATATTGGATGAGTAACAAATAATTTATTTTTGTACATATATTTTTGTACATATATATTTTTGTACATATATTATAATAAATATATATTTCTTCACCAACAATATTAATAAAATTATATTCTCGAAGTCGGAATTTAATAATTCAATTCATACAATTTCAATTAATAATTTAATCTTATTAACGCGTTTATTATATTGCATCCTATACATATTGTTATTATATTTTATCTTTATAACATTTAACTGCTTTTTTATACTCTTATTTTATTAGATATTTATTATTTTATTGGATATTTCTTAAAATAAAATATTATCATTACTGCACATTGGCTACGTTAATGATATAAGTTAATAATTAGAAAAAAAAGATTACGAGAAAAATTATCCAGAAATACTTTTTCCTTCGAAAGTATGTACATTAAATTGCGGTTCTGCTAAATTATAAAGTAAAATATTTTCATTCATAAGTATACTCATTCATCTACAGGAAATTGCCAATTATATAATGCTATTCCTAGAATTTTACACCGCTTACGTGGCCAGAAACACTCATGTGTATAATAATATCATCGCTTGTATGATAAAGGGACACGAAAACTCAGTCCTTTTACAGAAAAGTTTTAGGAAAAAGTGAGTGAGACACTTGAAATACGCGGCTTTAATAATCTATAAGGATCTCCGTGGAGTAATGCACAGCTGAAATAGCCGCATACGCTACATACTACTCGAGATAAAAAATTAACGTACGGAGAATCCGCAACTCGCAGACAACACATCTCTATTTATCCATTTATATATATAAATGATAATATATATTTACTCTTTCAGTACATATATTTTAATTCAGAGTTTTGCGTTTTAATTGAATATGAAAACGAAAGGTAGAATGATTACATTAATTTATAAAAGCAAAAATTATTCAGCATGTTACAAAATTAATATTATTTGTCTAAATGGAACAAAAAATATTTCCAGATTATCTGAATTTTTTCTCTCAATTCTTTTGAAATTTATTAGTTGATATTACGTTTATAATATTATATTTAAATATGTAGTCAACACGTATCAGACAATAATGACATTTCATTTTTTCTCTGATAAAAATATCACATAATTAAGTTGAGGCATAACAGAAATGTTCGTATCTCAAATCAGTTTTACAATAAATGCATAAAAACGTGTCGTATACAATTTTTATTTCAGCTTGATCATTATAGTTAATCTTTTTTATAAGTGCATATACTTTAATAAAAAGATTATAATAAAAGATTATCTCAAAAAATATTCCATGATGATTCATTTGTATGTGCATGTATGTGGACACACCTAGGTATGACATTTCTGCAAAATTGATGTTATTTTCGCACTAAACCGACTTTGGAAGGTCGGTGCATTCCCACTAGACATATCATTTTACCATCAAAAAGAAGTTCAATAAATTCAAAAAGATATTGATTTTTACAAAAATATATGTTAATGATAATATTCATGAACACAACATACAATAAATAGAATCGTTCTAATATAAATAAATACTTCAAATACGGCCAAATAAAACATTTAACAGATAAGATTTATGTGAGACAAATTTTTTAAATATTTTTTATACTATCAGCAACGCTATCATACTAATGTATACGTAAACATAGGCAATTGCAGGCGAATTTTATCTGCTCTAGTTATGGCTCGAAGTACATCCCACGCGACTTGCTATGTGAGTCCAATTGAATATAACTGGAAGGTTACTGTCTTCGATATTAAACTTTTTAAAATAAATTTTCATATGCATTAAGCTGTTCTTCGATAGCATATCTGATCAATTTTCAAATTAATCTTTCAATGTGTGTATACAAAAGCGTGTCACTTTTCCATTTACTTTTCTACGTGCATTTTATTCAAGGATAATGCATATCATTCTGCGTAGACAGAATAATAACATACATATTCATTATTTTTAGATGTAATTTCTCCTTAAAAATTTCTTTTCTATTTTCTGAATATTTGTATATATTATTCTACTCAAATATTTTATAAATATTAATTAATAAAACTTGCAACAAGAAAAAAATTGTTTACTTAACTAAATTAATTGTTTATTAAAAAAATGTATGTATTTAAGTTAAATATAATATGTTTGATTTAAATACATATATTCTTCATCGAAAGAGATAAAGACAAATTAAATTAATTTAATCAAATGAACAATTTTTCTTTCTCAATGTAATAAAATATAGAAAATATAGAAATACAAAGCAATCTTTACTTGATTATTATTGATTGAATGTAAAAAAAAAAGGAAAAAAACTAACAGGCGGGACTATGACTGTAACGATAAAAGATTAAATCACAGTAATGGAAGAATCTAGGTCGCATTCAAATTATTTATAAGGCTCATGTGTGGCGTAATCGACTCATTTTCAGTTTCCGCGCGAAAATACAATACGCTGAAAACGAAGAGGCATCCGGTACCGAGTTATTGACCCGTAATTCACACCGACATTTAGCGTTAAAGGTCGCCTAGCTGCTTCCGAGTCTCACTGATGGGTGTTCCGTATCGTTGCCCAAATAAAGCGACAGGCATCCTAAAATTGTCCAGATGTACCGCCCACTGCTGGAGTGATACAAGACATTTAAAAATGCGTGATACATTTAAAAGCGCGATTTAATTATATTCTATTTTAATTCGATCAGAAATAAATTTATAATGTTCCTTTACACTTGCAATTAGAAATATTATACCTTGGAATTTAAGTAATAAAAAAATAATTTTATTAGCAATTAACTTCGTGAAATTTTATTTTAACAGGGATTTCATTTTAGAAATATTAATTAATTGTTGCAAAAAAATGTAATTATAAAATTTCCACAAACAATGATGATGAATCAAAATGTTTAAGAACCAATAGTTTCCAAGCTTATAAAGTCATGATTAAAAAGTGTACTTTCGCGAGTACTTCTACGCGTTCCATTAGGATCATTTAACGTATACAGCACAAGTCCTTTCACGCCTCGAAAGGTGATTCTAACTAATTAGAGATTTAACGAAGTGTGGAAGAAAGACGAGCGAACGGTGCAAGCATCGAGTGTTTCGAATTTAACAAGGAATACTCGAGCTTAGTCCTTATAATCCTACACGATTTTAAGGCAGTCTACCGTGCGACTTTCGCGTAGTTTGATACCGTTTCACCTTCCAGTTTCGTAATAGCACGCGAAATGAAAGAAATTAGTCCTGCTACATTATACTCGTTCCTTTTCTCACGTGGTGGCGCGTTAATTTTATTGTCGCGGAGAACGCGAACATTTTGAGGTCATCATACCTGTAATAACTGAAAACGTTATACTTTCGTGTTCTACATATAATCGAATAAAATCATTACTAGTATGGAAATAAAACGAAGAAAATTATATAAGAATTATCGAAAAATTGCGCCCCTATGTATCTTATACGCTATTATTATATTTACATTAATCATTATATAATAATAAGTCTATTAAAATAATTACACGACAAAGTCTCTTTAAAAAATTATTTGTTTTAACTTTAATAAAATATTTAATATTTTAAATTCTGAAATATTTATAAAATTCAATTGAAATTGGGTTTATTTCTTTTAATTGATTTATTCTCCTCGGTCTAATATAAATTGTAATTGTTTAAAATTGAATAATATTTCTAATAATTATAGTACACACATATAATACATATTTTTATTTGAAAATATTTTGTTATTTTCTAAAAGTTTGTATAGAAACAAAATTGATGTAAGATATACGTTAAATTATTTTTTTCCTATATACTTTTAAAGAAAACATTTCATTCTTATGATTTTAACAAGTCTTGGTTTCTTTTATAATTTATTCTATCAATATCACTAATTACTAATTTTATTATTACAAAATAAATTGATAAGCTCTCATCTCTCATTAAATAAACAAAAGATTTCGAAACAATCTTGCCTTCACTTTCTGTTATCTTCAATGAGATTCACTTTTTTTTCTCTGCAGGTGCACATTACAAAACCACAAATATTTATCTTTTCCAATACCTGACAGGTAGCAACCGATCGTCAAAGGTGATGACTTCATTCCTCCAGCGAGACAAACACTTTTCTTTCATCTTCCCCGATAAGATCAATTTTTCCCAATTACCTCCGCTGACTTTGAGAAAAATTAATACAGGAGAAATTCTCCTCTCTTGGAATTTCCACCCACTTTTGCCGCCCACCTTCGCGGCTCTTCAGTTAATACAGACAGCAACCTCGAACGTTGACGAACGCGGTATGCTTGTGTGAAAGTGCCGCCGTTCCCTCAAAGGCAAACGAATGGCGAGAAACGATGATGAGAGAAAAAGAGACAGACGATGACGATGATGATAATAATAATAATAAACCGAGTCGCGCGGTTCAACTAGCACATGTAACCGGAAAGGGATATGCGGCCTCGTAGCCGTGTTAGCAAACAAACTGGTGGTCGCACAGGTGGACAGCCGCTTTTCGTAGCCATCTGGTCCCATTGAGTAATTCCGTAAATCGCTTACCTCGGAAATCTCGTGTCGCCGTTTGCCCCGACGATGCTCGTCCGCGCGCCGTCGATGCCACCAGGCTGACCGAGAAACCGATGAACTCGAGCTAAGCGCAACGGGCTATAACGGTTGACGAGCGCATACGCGGTGATACGCGGCTGTCACTACACTCGAAACTGTCATCACACGGATGGATTTGACCACGCGCAATGTTACCAACGGATGCGACACGCGACCTCTTTGTCACTAACAGTTACTAATCCTGTTGCTTCGCGTGACGTCCGCAGAGGGCGCTGAGACACAGCAGCCATGTTGCCTCGAGCTTCAGCCAAGTTATATGAATAATTCGATAATCAAATCGCAAATACATATAATAATCATAAAAAAAATTAAATCTGTTCTTATTAATAACAATAACAATGCAATTTTTAATCTTTTATTAGTTTAAAATATAAAGAAGATAAAAATATTGCAATTAAAGAATATTTCCACGTTTAAATATATTTTCAAGGAGATATCCTGATTCCTAAAGTCGTCTGTTTTACCAATTATTTTTCAAATAAGTATTTTTTTTAACTATCTTTATATTATAAATTAAAAAATACTTCTCCATAATTAAAATATAAGAAATAATGTAGTTCAGACTAGCCGATTTTATGTCAAAAATGAAAAACAGTTGGAAACAGTGTTTACAGCTTTATTATCGGCTTCTGACGTTGACTCGCAATATCTGTTTTATATAAGTTTTAAGCCTGTTCTACAATGTGCTTTTTGTTTTCTATTTCTTGCCTTTTGTTATTTTTTACATTTTGTCTTTTTGCTTCTTATCCGGTTTTTTATTTTATATCGCCCGAGATAACGAACTTCGAAAGAAACAAGAAATACGTAGTAAAAAATACAATTGTTAATAAAACGGTTGTAAAAGAGAAAAAAGCAAAAGGTAAAAAACAAGAAACAGGAAACAAAAAGTTTACATTGTGTAAAATAAATTTTATACTTTGTGGATATAAAACAGTCTTGGATTAGATTAGCTGAAGGATTACATGAAAAAATGTTGTTTTCTTAGAATTAAGCTTGGATATTATATTTAACACAAAAGATTAGTTAGAAAATTTGTACGTGTGCGGTGCATGTGATATTGATGTAGTAATGTAACTCATTTGTGTCGCTTGTTGGAAGGCACACATAGTCGATGACACATAAATCATATGTAAAGTCCTACTGAATCGGTAATACAGATGACGGTTTTAGGATCCCTTAATAGTATCCCATCAATACAATAATCAATTTCTAGATGGCGTTAGTAACGGTGGTGCAAAAGTAATACATGGGAGTTTGCCTCCCCTGTTTTGCGCAATGATTAGGCGTTCCTCGGCATTTCTCGGCGCGCACGACGCGGCGGGCCGATACATTGTCAAGATGGAAGATGGAAGGCGCACGGGACTGACCCTCTCGCCTCTCGGCAGTATGGATTTCGCCGCGTGATTCGGTGCACGGTGCCGCAACGAGATTCCCGTCTTTCCCGGCCGCGCCGCGGCAGAGCGACAGAAGAGGGGCGGTACGGCGGTACGGCTGACCGGTCGACCGACGATCGTCGACCGTGAGGTCCGAGGTAAATGGTGTCGCGTCACGAGAGCGCGATCGTACGGTGTGATCGAACGCGGTAATGAGAGAGCTGTCACGGTGCAACGGCGCGGCAACGGAGCGAATCCTCCACAATGGTGGATAACAGTTGCATTATTGAGGGGAACGTCAAGTTTCGCGACGGCAAAAAGGTAAATCTTCCGCATTCCATGTTTTCCGTTCAATCAATCCTCCTTCCCTTATTCCGTGCGCTGATCGTGCTCCATTTTTTTTCTCTCCCCCCGACTTGCGACAATCGCGCGAATGCATCCCCCGCGTGAATTCGTTTGCGGTCCGCGACGTCCCCGACGCCTCTGGACGCCCCGCGCAGGGTGAGACGCATTGCGGAGGGGTAGGAAGGCTTTTCATCCCCTCGCATGCGAATTCGGGAAACGTGCGCCGGACGCGCGATGCTTATCGACGAGTCACCTGTATGCACAACTCGCTTGACGATAAAAATTATGTAACGATTACGGGGGCGGTTTGCGTAGCGTGCGTATGTGTACTTTGCGCGACGCGGACCTACGTTAAGTTTCCGCGTTATACAGGCTGCTCCAGAAAAGATGTGCAGCTTTTGCGGACTGGGGCTGCCGTGCTTAATTTTTGACACTAACGATTAATATTTTGAATATAGTAATTGTTTAATGTATTTCTTACTGTGCATGGTTATTTATTTGCAAAAATAAAAAGATGAACGTTTTGTCGATTTATTCTATTCGCATTTATTCATTTTTGTTATACGAATGCTAGATATTGAATAGATAATTGTTACTAGGTGTAAGTATTAAATCTAGGTCTTAAATGTTGGATCTATTAATACAAAAATAAAAAAAAAGTTTTAATAAAGAATATAATAATTTTTTATGATCTTTTTTTTCATAATTTTTCTGTCATTGCGAAATCTTCAAAAATATTAAGTTTATTAAATTTGATTTAATAAAGATGTTTTGTTGGAATGATATGATTAAGTAAATAATTGTTATTGATTAGGTGCAGCTATTCAATCTATTAGTTAGATATTATATTTATTAAAACTAACGAAAATTTAAAAAATATTATTGACGAAAATAATAAATTTTTGTGATGTCATCTCTCATTTTATAGTAAAATTATCACTGTAATCTTTAAAAATATTAAGTTTGTTAAATTTATTGATTTAATAAGGATGTTCTATAAGAATGGTGTGTAATTCTTGAGACATGTTATTCTAAACATTATCAGTGTAAATATGCCTATCATACCTGTTATCAGAGACTCTTATTCTGGCAGTAAGATTTTACTGTTTAATTTAGTATTTGATAAAATTGTTTAAGAATTATATTTCTATCTTTTCTGAGAAAAACTTTAGTTAAATATTTTGTGTAATATATTATGTAAATATGTATATTTAAATATTTTTTTGTTTTTAATTTTTTATTTTTATTTATTAAATTATTTATTAAAGTAATCGTTGGTGTTATTTATGTTTCTACCGTGCAATACTTTTTTAAGATATTTGGTTTAAAGTATATCTGAAGTGACTGTTGAAAAAGAAATTGTTTAAGAATAGGGCTGTAGGGAGCTAATCCAAGTCTATAAAAAGCTTATTCTCGTTTGTTAATAAGAGGGTGATACAGCAAGATACTTGAGAATATAGAAGCCTCTTCTACTTTGATCATGAATGCACTACGTGAAAAAGTTTACTTCGTGAATTTTATGCAATTTCGTGTAATTTTTATCGCATCCGTGCTTGATAAAATGCAAAATAATATGTTTATAGATTGAAAAGAAAGAATTTTCTGTTATAAAGTTTAATTATAAATATAATAGAATCAAATTAAATATATAGTTAAAGTTGAAATTATTATTTGAAAATGTAATATATTATTTAAATTATAATATATTTTCATCTCATTTTTTATTTTAAATAAATAAAAAATAAATTGTATTATTATTTAAAAACAGATTTATCTTCTTTTATGATTATTATATTTGAATTTTTTATTACCTAATTACTCATTATTGCATTATACAAATGCAGAAATGACTAAATATACAATAAAACAAACATTTAATTTTTTTTCAAATAAAATCCTAAACTTATATTTATAAGATTTTTGAACATATTTATTGCAGCTTTGTATATTTTATTTACATTTATATAATTAATTTAATATATGCGGTAAAAAAAGGAATCAAAATTATATTTAAAAATATGTAAAATTATTTTGAAATATTTTGTATTATATACAAAATTGTATGTGTCAACAATATAATTTATTTTACAGTGGAAATCAAGATGGTGCGTTATGCGGAAATTATCGCCAGTAGCAGGTAAAGTCTCACGTTTGTTTTTAGACAACGCAATTGCTAACAATAGTCTTATTGTTTTGTCGTCCATTTGTCTTAAACGAGTTAATAATAATGTGTTTAATTAATGAGACTTTGATAAGATTGCGTTAATGGTATGTATATGCAGATTTATGTTGCATTATGGTTGCATTATGGTTTGTGAGTGAAAGAAGGGAAATGAAGAGAGCAATAAGATAATAAACAGGAAACATTATACTCTCCTAAAGCGTTTTTACATTTTGCTTCTACTATCATGTTGATACGAGCGGTATCGCAATTTGCATAATAGACTCCCTCTTATCTTTGCTATGTTGTCTGCTTGGCAAACTGTGCAGAATGGATTATACCTGTTTTTACACGATGTTCTTTGTTTTGGTTTTATGGGCGAGGAAATTTTTGAATTTACTGCAGAATAAATATCGTTTTGCTTCGTTACAAGTTAACGTGTTTATAAAAGTGAATTATAACAGAATACTGTCATCCATTTTTTTCAGATAAACAAAATTGATTTAAAATTTATGCAATAAAATTATATTAATTGATTCCATTTTATATGATATAGTAACACAACGTTGCGAATATACATATATTTATAATAAAACGTATCACATTTTATAAGTTTGATCCCGTAATTAAACTGATTAATTAAAAACTTCAATTTAAAATATTGTTGGCATAATGGTTCCATATCTATTTGTAAAATTAATTCTGTAGCAGCTGGATGACCGATTTTTGCATTTTGTTACAAAATTGGTGGAATTTGTCATCAAAAAATTAATTAGTTCCACTTCTCACTCCCTATGAAGGACCCTTCCTGCTTGTTATCAGTACAAAGGATCCCACCTTTGGACTTTCCTAGGGTGACAGCTGGCACATCTGTTGCTGCCTAAAGCAACAAAAAAGTTTCCAAGAACGGCTTTGCTCCTGGCAATAACCATTAATACATAATCCCTGTAACTTGAGGGTATTTTTGAACTAAGAATCCAGCACTTCATAAATTTTCCTTAAGCGGGACTTAAAATGTAAACATATGATGAAATTTATCTCGAGATATGTATTGTTAAATGTTTCTGTAAATGGGAATGCATTTTTTATGTCTTTAATATTTACCAGGAAATAATATTTATTTCTAATAAAACGTTGAATTTATATATTAATAAAAATATCAAACATTATGTGTTTTATATGTATATTTCGTATATACACATTCCACATAAGAAAATTTTTGTAATTTATTTAAG